ATGGATGGATGGATTGGTGATGGATGGATGAATGGATGGATGGATGGATGGATTGATTGGTGATGGATGGATGATGGATGGATGAATGGATTGATTGGTGATGGATGGATGATGGATTGATTGGTGATGGATGAATGGATGGATGGATTGATTGGGGATGGATGAATGGATGGATGGATGGATGGATGGATTGATTGGTGATGGATGAATGGATGGATTCAGAGATAAAGTTCTAGAACCGGTTGGATGGTTTTTATAGAAGCAGTAAATAGCTATAGAAGTAGATGAGGTAGAGCAAAGAATCTCCAGATCTTCTGCCTGAAATCGTTTCTATTTGCTGTAAAGTTCAGCTGGTTTAGTCCTGATCCTCAGTCTGTGCGTTTTAATCCCAGCGTGTTTTAAATGTGTTTAATCCAGGATCTGAAGCGTTTATGTTCGGCCAATCAGCTGACTGGGATCCAATAGAAAAAATCTATAAAAGAACTAAAGGTCAGAGTTCATAGCAGAGGCCAAGCAAAGCTTCCAGATTTAAAGATTGTTTGTGTTCAAACATCAGTTTCTGTTGAACTGAATCTGAGATGTTTTATTTCCTCCATCTTCCATTTATCAGCTGCTCCGTTCCTTGGATCCAGAGCAGCAGGAATAGGACCTGGAAGGGGTAAAATAATACATGCTTAGCAGTGATTTATGCATCTGTTAGGACCTCCATGCTTCTCCAGAAGGTCTGAGCAGCTGCAGGAATCATCAGCAGAGTCACGTGACTTCTTCTGTAGGGAAACAAGAAAGAAACGGGCAGCAGGAATCTGCAGAGTAAATAGGTGAGAAGGAAAGATTTAAGACAGGAAACAGTGAATTCAGACGCCCTCACAGCCAGACCAACCGGGAAGGAGATCTTTGGAGCGTTCAAAAATAACATTCAGGAAAAAAAAAACATCTCTGGGTTTCATTTCAAAGCAGACCGTCTGGATTTGCTCTTCTGAGACACATGGAGGTTTTTATGTGTGAATTTCAAGAGTGTGGAAGAATTTTTGCAGGTCACAACTAAAGCTCTAATCTATATCAGGTAGAACAGTGAGAAGCACATTTCCCTCTAAAAGTTTTGATTTCCAGCAGATATTTCTGTATTTCCTGAACATCTACGTCTGTTACATTCAATTTATTTCTATAACTAAAATTCAAAGCATCTCAGTTCATCTAGTCGGATTAAAGGTTCTAAACCAGCTGATTTTTCCAGGATTCTCTCCCCCTGGATGAGCAGGTAGAGACAGTAAACAATAACTCTACAGCATGCTTGTAGCGACAGTGGAGAGGAAAAACTCCCTTTGAACAAGAAGAAACCTCCAGCAGAACCAGGCTCAGTGTGAGCGGCCATCTGCTGAGGCTGACTGGGGTTCAAAGAGACAGAAGCAGACATAGAAAAAGAAG